CTGTTTGGGAATATCAACGACTATAATTTCTGTAGGGTAGGCAAACTGTGGAAGTGTTGACTCACACCTTAACGGTAATTTCAGACAGCATAATGAGATTATTTCAAAGTTGGTAGCTGATGTTTAGTGTTACTGACTTCAAATAAATTTCGACAATCATAATATTCAACTTATTCGGAAAACAGCTTTTAGTGGTAGGAGGACATGTCTTTGTATCGGGCGGAAGAGCGCTTGTTTTGTTGTTGAAAAGACGTCCCTTTTTGCTCTAGAGAATTGCTTCTGCTTTTAGTGCCAGATCTGAAACAGACATCGGCAGTCATAGTTTCCCCTACACCTTTCTCTGCTCGAATTCCCTTAGAAAACCCATAATTCTAAGCTGTCTTGGTCTTTCCCCGTCACCCATCTGTTCTAGTTGTCAAGTCAGTAAATCTTGGCCGACTTCTGCCATTTTTTGGCTTTTGTTTGTCCAGTGAGTATAAACTGTTTTTTATCAGTGACCGTCCCCCTCGGGTTTCCTTCAGTATAACATCATTTGACTTCTTTTTCTTCTTTAAAAAGTATCAAGTCTCCAAAAGTAAAAGAAAACATTTCTGTTGCCGCTATTTTATTCCAACTCCACAATCTTTGTGTCCAGCATTCATAGCCGTACAAAAGGGTAGGGTTGGCCATACATAGCCTTTTGAAACCCCTTTTATGTTGTCTTTTAGATTTCTATTTTTTTCAGGATTGGACCCATTTTATTGGAACTATCTTTGGCTATTGCGTACATCTTTTCTGTTTGGAAGGATGCTTTGCTTTGAGAGGGGGGGGGGGGGGTGCTCAATTTGACCTGTTCGTTGAGGAAGTGCGTGTCTTGTTGAAAGACAGATCAATATACTGAATTCACAAGCGCCCCCCCCCCCCCACCCACAACCTTAGGGGTGCTTAGAGTGTATGGCCGGCTTTACAAACTTTGATGACGCTTTAAAAAAATAAGGATTGTAATACAGTGCTCAGACGTTAACACAAAAATGAATACTTATACTACATAGTTACACTCATGCGCACGTGAACATTCATGAACCCGTGCACACAGTAAGAATTGCAGTTTAAAGGGAGAAAAAAAGAGAGAGGGAAATGGGTGGTTGAGGTGTGGGTGTAAGGGTGAAAGGAGTCGGGAGAGTTGGGTGTTGAGGAAGCTTGTTAGAAAGATGAACATTACGCTCTTGTGAAAACACTGCCTGTTTGTAATGATTTTTGCAATGTGAATAATTTTCTATCTTGAAATATGAAATATAAAGAATACAGAATACACAGAACTGAAGGGAAAAAATACGTAATTCATTTGGTTTCAAAAGTGATAAAACGAATTTTGCAACACTTCAATGATATTTGTCTCTCCTCAAAGTTGTTTTATTGTAAAATGTGCGTCTTCCTTGAAGGTCTTAACGAGGTATCAGATCCGAATCTAAAGGAGAATAATTTTACGAGAAATTATGCAGATCTGAATGTCAAAAAGGCTCACCAAGATCCCAGAAGGAAATTGCTACACATTTTTGTCTTCCACGGCATAATAAATTGGATGCTATATGAAATTTTAAAAAGATGATATAACGGAAAATTTAAAAGCTAAAGAAGTCCTTCTTGAGATAACTGTCTTCCTTGTCATAAAGAGATAACTTTTGGTAGACAAAATTCTGTCTGAACACGTACCACTGCACTACTTCTCTGCAGTGGGTCTTAAAAGAAACAATGAGATGGAGACCTAACAAGCTCTACCCTCCTTAATTTTGTTTGTTTTTAAAGAAGTGAACAATTCAACTTTTTTAAACCACTTCACTCTGAGAAAGCCTTATTTAATGTAGATGTCCGCCCTCCCCCCCCCCAACCATTTTTTTTTACCAATTCAGTAGGAAAAGAAAACTAAAAGAAAACCACAAAAAGAAAACCACAAAAAGAAAATATTGTCACCGAGAAATGACCCTAAAAACCAACCAAATCTACTCAAACCACCCCCTTCCCCGCATCAGTTTAAAAAAGAATAATTAAAAACAAACCTTTAGGACCATAGGAGCCTGTTGAAAAAACAAAAACAAAACAAAAAACTAAAATTAAAACGAACTTGTAACGCTCCAATTAGACATTTCCCCACAGGGAAGTGAAAAATGTAGGCGAAACAAAGAACTAATCGAAAAGTCAACACGACAACATGCCCCTTGAGGGACTCATGACGCAGGTTTAATTGTCATCGGTTATTGAGGACGTTTTATCCACAGAATTGGAAAAAAAGAAGAGCTTATCATATCCGAATTTTATGTAGTTAAGGCGATACAATCGTGGCCATCATACATTCAACGACCTTAGAGACCCCAAAACGAACCGAGCGCGAGGGATATGACTTCCAAAAAATTAATTCTTAGTTATTACTTACATGCCTGTGTTCCATGGCACCTTCTCCTGTTTTTTTTTTTTTTTTTTTTTGGGGGGGGGGGGGGGGGTTTCTTCGGCCGTTGTGCTGCCCGTCGAAATATGCGACAGTAAGCTCGGCAGACAATATTTCCGGTTCGCGCACCAATGACGTAATCCGGTGCTCATTCAAGTGTCACGAACTTGATCAGGTATTGGATGAAAAAAAACAAAAAAAAACGAGCCAATAGCTTCCGGCTATGAATGCAGCCGAATAGCTGGCGGTTCGATACGGAACGAAGTTTTCATCACGCTTGTTTGGAGGTCGCCAGGAACAATAAATAAGCCTAGGTAGAATCAATTAACAGTAAGCGGCGTCAAAAGAATTAGATAAAGGACATAGAGTTCAATGGGCTTTTCCACGTGACTGCTGTCATCGCATTTATTGATGATTTTTGCTTTGCACAGGCTCAAAGACTCTCATCAGTTTGTGGGCACAGCTCTTATACTGCGTGTCTACGATATAGCTGGCTCTGCGACTGTACTCTGGGTATAATACCACTCGACCGGTGCAATGAATGAAGTCGCTTGCACCTGACCTTTTTTAATCAACAGTGCAGGTGCACTCCCACTAGCGAACGGGACGTTTACTTGAACAAAAAAGAAACGTAAAATTATCAACAAACAAAACTCCAGCCCCCCCCCCCGTTCCTTCCCCACGAAAAACAACAACAAATTAACAAAACAAACTCTGATCCCCCCCCCCCACACACACACAGACACACTGATTAGCAGATTCGAGAACTGAAAAACCAAAAAACGACACGTTTTCTAGTGCAAAAAAGGCGAACTTTCTCTCAACACGGAACAGACTGCATTTTAAAACTCAGACTAAGCTCTTCGTTGAAAATAGTAAAGTTTGAAGCTAGATATTTGGACGAGAGAGTTCTTTATTTGCTTTCGTCAGCGCCATTTTATTTTTAGAGGGCCCCTGCTGTGATCAATACTCATTCCCAAAAACTGCAACAACTCAGAGCCACAGTATGAGAGCTCTTCTCCAAAACGAAATCTGTAACATTTCTCACGTCACACTGCAGAGGAAACAGCAGCCCCGTTTGTTAAGAAAATGGTAACACCCCACTAAAATTCATAGCTACGAATGGCATACAACTACTTTGTACTTCCAATGGCTAGCCAGCCATTTTCATGCATGATAAAGTTGTCAAGTTTGCATCCTCCGGTCTTTCCCCCTCTTCGATGTCTATATGTCTATGGATAGAGTGTCATAGAAGGTTGGAAAAGACGTAGTGTCCTAAAAAAAAAATCGAAAGGCGCCTGAGATGGTGCATTATGTATACCTTAGCGCGTATCCACCCTAGGACAATAGTGAGACATTCGATATGGAAAAGTAATGCATTTCCGTTTAGACGTTACATGATGATATATTCATCAGTCAATCTTCCCACCTGCTTTGTGTACCCCCCCGTTTTCACTCCCTTTCTTTTCACATCAAAATGTTTCACTTAAGCTTGCAATTACCTTTAAAAGGAGTCAAAATGTTGAAATGAATCAAGACATCATGCTTTTGTTCCCAAATACAAACGTTGTTCGCTAACAGACTCTCCGCGTTCCATTACAGCAAGGGTGATTTTTGCATGCACGTTATAATGCATTGTTATGTTCCATTTGAAGGACAGACAAGCTCCAGGGAAGCAAACTAGAGGAAAACATTAATTTTATTTTATCTAATTTTCATTCCTGGAAAGATTCTGCCTAAACTCTAAAATCGATTCGCTATCACGTTGCACTTTGGCAGCGAGCTAAAGAAGTGGCATCTGATGCCCTTTGATGGTTTGCATGGGATCGAGAAGAAAATTATCAGTCTCGTTGAATTCTACGCATATAAATCTGCACATTGGCGGAATTTGCATTCTGTGAATAGGAAAAGAGATTTAGGTTGTCTGAAGCAGCCGATTTTAAAGCCAGTGTTCTTTGTATGACGTGCGCCCTGATCCTCAACTCTTCTAGAAAAAAAACAAACAAAAACAAACAAACAAAATAAAACAAAACAAAAAATAAAACAAAACAATGAACTTTCTTACGAAATTTTTAAATGTATTTTGCTGAAGATCCTTTTGAATCCGTTATTTGATTTTTGTTTATTTTATTAGAATTTTGTTTTGCTTTGCTTTGCTTGTCTGTCTCAAGCTCAAAAAGACAGCCACGCTGAGGAAGCTGGATCTTCCCGGCTTAGCTGAAGTTGACATTTCACCTTGTGGCAAACACAGTATTATTATACTGTCAAAATTGTTTAAAGCGGCCTATTGGAAAAGTGGTAATTGTCATAGACAAGTGGACATCTTGAATATTGTCATTATGATGTAAAAAAAAAAAAGCGCCAGGGAAGAAGTGAGAAGTGGTCTTTAGTAGAGGTTATTGTCTCAGACAGGTCGACGTTGATGCAGGTTCGGCTGTATTATTTTTACTTGTATTTCGCAGAACTACAACGGTGAGAGCGACAAAATCAATACGCAAAATTCGATTAATGATAAAAATTAATTATGTTGTATCGATTAACAATTTTTAATGTTTTTTTTTTCTTTCTTTCATTTCAGGGTCCTTTGTGAAGCGCAAAAAGATCCGGAAATAGCAGAGGCTCACATGAAAGTCGGATCTGTTGCAGCAGGCCGGTCGTGATTTTCCTCGGAATAATTTTGAAATCAGCATCACTAGAAAGTACGGCTACAGCCAGTATTGTGGTTTCTTAAGAATCATTTTTGAGAATTGATGCATGAATAACAACATTAATTTATATACTACGACACAGACAAACGGAACGGTTATCCGTAGTTTGATTTAAGAAATTCAAGCAAGAGTGACATATTTAGACTATTATTCGATAAGAGTTGTTATTTCCCTACGAGTACCAGCCGAGACGAACGAGGAGAAGATAAAATAACCCACATCTTCATTATTGTTATTCCTCCTAACATTTTAAGCAATAAAAGAAAACCCAGCAAAGACTGAAAGCCATACAACACACAGAGAAAACAAGAAATCAGACCAGAAGGGTGAAAAAGAGGAATCAGTTCCCCACCACCACCATCCCCACCAGTGACATACAGAGGAGAGCCTTGAGAAGAAGAATTGGAAGTGATCAAACAGAATGATGAGGGCGGTGGAGACTTCAGCTCACATTGTGTCCGGCATCCACATCTTCCTGGGCCTGCTTAGTGTTTGTGTGGGCGTGGTCAGCAGTATCAGAGCGGATGTGTGGCTGGCCCACAGAGTCTCACCAATCTGGAGTGGAGGATTTGTGAGTACAGCAATGCAATTTCTCTATGTGCGTCTACCTGTTTGTCTTGTTACATGTTTAGATTGTCTCCCTCTA